TTGGGTATGTTTAGCTTTAGCTTGACAATAACAGCTAGAGGAAGGCCAGGTCCATACTTAAAGAGATTTGTATGGTTGGCTTTGTCCTTTTGATACTTGCATCAACTTGCACTACTGGCAGGGTTTTCATTAACTTTTGAAGTAGAAGAGCACTGCCTTGTGAGTAAGCAGGTGTACAGGGGCATGCTCCTCTGGGAATTTTATTAAAACTCAAAGTCTCCCAGAAGTGCATTTTCCTGCAATCTGGAAAATAAATCTTCTTGCAAAGACACATATTTAATCTAATTAGAGTAAAATAGAATGGTACTCTGGGAGAATTTGTTTATTTCACTACACAGCTATAGCTACATCAAAACACTGCTGTTGTTCTCAGAGCCTCCTAATCTTACAGTTGCTAGTTAACTTTAACTTACAAACTGATAAAGAGTGAAACTGACAACACTTTTTGTCATTTATGAAAACTCGAAGTCAGAGCCATAATCAGAAACTTCAGCATCTAAATCTGGCAGCTCTAAGGCTTTGGAGGTTTCCTCTACTTCTTCGTCTGCAAGTGAGGGTGTTCCTGTGGTAATTGTACTTGATGTCAGTGTACAGGCAACTGGTGATGACACCCAGTTATTCCATTCTGTTGATCCTGAACTAGCCAAAGGTGGTGGTACTGTCTTGGAAATCTTTGAAGGGCACTTGCAATGAGGTTTAGCTGCCAACCAGGATAGTTTTCTGAGAACAGCAACCACCAAATCTCTATGGTTTTGCAGTACACAAGATCTTTCCCTTTTAACCATTTGTGATGCATCCTCGTCTTCTTTAATAACTTCTGTCTGGCCTTTTCCCCTTCAGAAAACTCTCTACAGCTTTTATCTTTGCAGTTATAGAAATTATGGAGGTTCTCTAACTTCAGTTGTTCTATTTCAGCAAACATCACATTATCTGATAGTGCCTTTTTGGCACACTTGTTTTTGCCAAATTTTCTCTCTCTGGCTCAAGCAGTGCTGAAACTGTGGCCATGTTTGAATCATCTGTGGCCATGTGTGAATCATCCACTGTGGCTGTATGTGAATCATCTGTGTCTGCCATTGTGTGAAAATCATCTGATGTGGCTGCATTTGAAACATCTATTCAAAAGCCAGGCAGTTAGATTAAAATCATTGTATTAGTGTAGTGTAGAAAACTACTTTTGGTCAGTGTTTTATGAACACTTAAATAATGGAAAGCACAGAAAGCGTATGTAAGTTTCCAAAAATCCATTTCATCAGCTGTAGTCCAATTAAAACCAGAAACATAAATTTAGTTTTCTGGGTCATTGCACTTGACTTTTCATGTGCAAATAACTGCTTGCCTGTCTCGTTCCAAGGAATGTGTAAACAATATAAGTGTAAAAAAGCTAGAAACTAACCTTTTGACTTCTTTTATGCAAATAGCTAGAAAGAATCCAGGATGCCTGGAGTTTTTTTGTTTGCTTGCTAAGATGCCAAGAACACGATTGTTGCGCAGCACCTTCCTCTATGAAGTAAATTTTATCTACACAATCTGATGGTTTTTAAACTTACAGGGGAGAGGTTGATAATTTTTTTTCTAGTTGATTTCTTTTTTTTAAATTTTTTACGTTAAGTACCTAGGTACTCTGTTCAAAGTAAGTGGGTGGCCGCACCTAGGACCCGGCTTCTAAAAATCTTTGTACTGGGTGTGCCTCATTTGAGGCATGATGCATGAGGCTAGCATAGATGGCTTTCTTCATCCAGCAAAATTTCCAACATTGGACCTTATGGCAATGCCATAATAGTTCTGCAGTTAATCAATTAGACTGTTGGTAGGTATACCTCTACCTCCAAGGCCTGGATTGTCATGCTTTAATTTATGAAGTGCAGTTCTAACCCTCTTCTGTAAGTGACTGATGCATTCTTTCTTTTCCACTGAAATTCCAGCATCTTGATAAACTTTCTTTATCATGGAAAAACTCTTGCTGTCTCCGTCCCCATAAAATTCAGTGTACTTGAGATTGTGCAGCTCAACAGATCTTTGAAATTTGTGCTCTGCTCCCTCCGGTTCTACAGTAGGTGCGCTGATCCCTGGAAATTTGACTTGCATGTAGTGTGATCAGTTCTCACATCTGATATTGAAAAAAAGTCTTATCCATTTCACACTGTTTGCATCCATGACTTAGGGCCCTTTCATAAAGAACCTTTCCTGTGTCCATGGATATGGCCGTGACACAGCCACTGCGTGATGAGTAACCTCTCTTTTTCCATGTACATCACAAGAAGAACACCACAGTTCACAGGGAGACCTCCAAACAAACATACAAACAAATGACAGCACAATAAAGGCAGGCCTACCCTGTGATAAAGATACCTGGGCCAGGGAAGAATGCATTGAAATCCAGTCCTTGCGGTCCATAAAGCCGAAGCTTGAGAAACTTAAATCCTGGCCAGGAACGCTCCCAAGCATGGCTCATCTGGTCCACAACACTGTAGTTCCCAGATGAATCTAGGTGAGAAACGGAGGCTTGATTTGCAGCTAACGGAGGTTTGACAGCTTGAACCACAGTGTTAAGAAATTCAGGAGATGACGGAGTGGTGGTACCTGCAACAGCAGTTGATGCACTGTGTGTGGAACCAGTCACTGGTTGTGAAGAGCTGACAGCAGGATGCAAAGAAATTGCAGATGTGAACAAACTATCCATTGCACTGGCCACGAAAAAAGGTAGCATCGTGGCTGTTACAGGTGCTTTGAGTGCCTTGAGAGCTAGATGTATCTTGCAATTAAAAGCCAGAATCTTCAAAGATTTGCTTAAGCAATAGATCTGCAAAGATAGCTCAAAAATACTAGCGTGGCATGCAATGTAAGTCACAAGATAAGCAAAAGGCCCTCGCGGTCACCCCACAGATCACGTACGCTTGAGGAGGAGACCGCCTCTGCATTGGTTTGCAATTTAACTTTCCCTAAATTACATTTTAGCCACATGAAGAGTTTCTATCCTTCTTGAGAGATAAGACTTCTTATCCCACCTTTTTCATTGTTTCCTTTCCAGTCACTTTCATGTGACAGCCGATTATGCTCAAGTGGCTGAGGAAAGCTTTCTCAGTTAGAGGTGGAGCATGTCCTCAATTATGCAGAATTTCCTTGCACCAGCACAACCTTTTCAAGAGTTCTCATGCCATAAACAAATTGCCAATTTACTTCAAAACTCTTTCCTTGCTTCTTTGATATGCAAAATGAATGTTTCCATCCACACTGCTTGCACAGCAAATGCAAAGTTGATGCACATCCCTTCTGTTTCATTATCTTCCTTTAACAAAAGACTGAAATTACTGCATTTGCCACAAGGTAACACAGAAAAAATGGGCGATAGCACCTTCATATCACAGAACCTGAACCCTCTAATGGATGGTCTGGTTTCCTCGGTATCTACCTTCATTAGCTTACATTTGGGTTTGTTTTCTTGGGAAGTTGATTGAAGCTTTTGATATGAAGCAGTATATTCCTTAACTTTGCTCTGATCATGTGGAATGTTGTCTTAGGATTCAAATATCCCACTCGAAGTACTTTCGACAGCAATCAACTCTTCTTTGTAAATTCTTTGGCTATCTGTTAAGCGATTCCCATAAAATTGTGGCTTCTTGGATCTCTGAGACAAAAATTTCAGCATTTTGGTGATTGAACCTCTCTCACTTGTGAAGATTCCTAACTAAATGATTGAAAGAAATGGCTGTTGACTGAAACACATCAGAACGGGGCTTAAAGTTAATGTTGGCCCCCAGTCTCCTAATAGGTTACTCAAGATACAAACAGCTTGCTTTGGCTTGAGTAAAATTACACTTCCAGGTTCTAAAAGATGCATTATAAAATGTATTTCCATGGCAACAGAACAACAGTGCCTTAGAAATTGCACTTTATCACTATTTCCTGACAAATTATTCACAAGAAGGCATTTGGAGCGATTAAACAAAAGCCTTTAGAGGTGAAATTGAATATGAAATAAAAATGGACACGTTTTAAACAAAAATTGCGTTTTTTAATTGCTCAAATATTACAAAATGTTTCTTAAAGTCATGTTGCTCTAAAGATTGGAATATTTTTCATTGTGTTTTCAAAAATGGGGTATTCTTAATTTCTTACTGCTCCATGAGACAATCAATTAAACTTTTGTAATGATTTATGATGTTTAGTGAAGTAACTTTTGACACTTCCAAATATACTGTACATGTGAGAGATTCATATAGCCATTTTCAACACGACCTTTATGTCTTTGTTTTTAATAATGTCATAATCTCTCTATGCCCAGATAATGATCCTTTGAAAATGGCTTTTTGTATATAAGGCTATTTTGAGGGTCTGGATGGGGGTATCTCGAAAACACTAAACACTAAAATTTTACCTTCTATAACATCAAACATTAAAATTTTGGGCTGTTTAACATCTAACACTAAAAAATTCTCTGAAACACTAAAATTGATACAAATGTAACGAGAAACGGCTAAAAAATGCGCCAGATACTGATAACGATAAACGCGGGCATTCAATATGGAATCAGCTACAATTGATTTACATACTGTGTCATTTTGATTGCAATTTTGTGTTGTTCATTGTTTATGTCTCTATCATGGAAAATCATTGGAGACTATTTCTCTGCAGAAGGGTACATTATGCTTAACAATTAAAATTTTCCTCTGTCGTTATCACACTTTCGCAAACTTTCATTTGAACAATTTGTTTATTTAATCATCATCATGCTCCTTTTACCTACCAGGAAAAGGCTGTTGCATCCTCACTAGCCATCCTCTTGTTTCTTAGCACATGTATTAGCAGCAAGCAAGCCTTGAATCTTAACTCCCCCTTTCCTTCTTTACGGTTTGTCTCCAAGTCTCTTTAGGTCTACCTCTTCATCGTTTGCTTTCCAGGGTCCAAGGTGGCGCTATTTACGGGTTGTTATGCAATTAACTCTTGATCACAGATTCATCACAAGGTAATGTATATGCGCAGACGCGATAGTGCAAACTCTACAAGTCAAGGCGAAAATGAGCGTGAATGGCGCGCCCGGACCTGGTGAGTGTTGTTGTGTGGGGGTAGGAGTCGTGATCGTCATCATCCACATCGGTGCCTGAGTCGGTGTCGTATTCATCCTCTTGATCTGGCACTTCAACAACAGCAACTATTTCAATAGTGCTATCGTCCACAAACGTGATACTGGGTGCGTGCGAGTCCCCATCGTCATCTATGATATGCGGAGTAATTTGTTCCATTACTTCTCCTTCAACAGTTGGGTCGTTGTGGAACATTACTTTGGTATGAGGAGGTTGAGTGTAATACACTGCTGGTGGGAGAGCTCCGGCTTTGTCTTTTGTGGTTTCACTGCGCACTGTTCTCTGCCTCACGGGACGAAATTTATCCACTAACTCCTTCATCGCTACTTCAATTAGAGGATCTATCCTTGCAGCTGTTGGAGACTTCATCACTTCAACATCTGCCAACTCCATACTAGATGTTGGAACTGGATAAAACGATTTGTCATGTGTAAAGTATTTGGCACTCCATTTTGTTGTTCTTTTTAATGATTCTTTTGCAATTGTTCCAAAGTCTCGAGCATACTGTAAAGCTGTAAAAGTCTCGTTTTTGAAGTGGGAGACTGCATGAAGGTTTTCAACTATAGTGGTCAGTAATGTACGGAGGTCATAATCCTCATTTATGTTCTTCAAGTTATTTTGCAGTCGTGCCATACCTTGTTCAAGGAGTTCTAACGAGACTTGAGTTTTCTTTGACACAGTTCCTTGGGGACCATTTGTTGCTGCTGCTTCTTTCATGTTGTAGTGCTGTTTAACTGTAGCAACTGTGCTTTTAATATATTCGTTCACTGATGAAACATTGTTCACAGCATCTTGAAGGGATAGTGATACTGCGTCTACGGTATGAGCACCAATTCCAAAACTGTCGTACAGCTTCCCAAGGGCTTGAAGAAAGGACACTGTCCCAGTAAGTGGTGAAACTATTTTTACCATTCCAGCAGCTACGTCCGACACCAATATAGTATTCTGGAAACTGCATATTCCGTGGACTTGCGCAAAGGTACAGGTTTCACCAGTTCCATCATTAGTTCCTTCTTTTCCAGTGCCCATCAATGTTTTAACAGTTGAGGTTTTCGGATCGAAGGTCTTGACTTTCCTATCTACGATGTCAGCGAACACAATTACGTCGCCATAATGACACAGCCTCTTGATTTCACTGCATGAATCGGACGAATTCTGCAGGAGCTGTTTGACGTTTGAATTTGCCAGGTCACAATTGTATAACCCACCTGCATTACCAGATGCAGCCAAGTATGCGGACCCTCTCCACACACAAAGAGATTCAATACTGGAAACGCCATCGGGATAATGTATTTCTCACATGCTAGCACCAATGACAGCAACTCCATTGCAGCTTACTTCCAACTGAATAATCCTTTGGTGCTCGTCATCCGCACACAAAAGGATGTCTGTACTCGCCACACAAATTGACGTTGGTTTTACTAAAGGCGTGTTAAGCTGGATGATTTCTGGGTTCTTAACTTGTGCAGCTAAAGCTTTTAAATGTGTCGCGAGTCGCTTCCGAAGAATTGGCACTGTGCCATCCTGTGATAAACTAAAACGACTCAGCTGTGAAAGTAGTTCTGCTCGCGATTTCAGGCCCTCCGGCTTTAAACGTACTTTGCCTTCCAAGTCAATAACACGGATTGCCCCAGATCCTCTTTCAGAAACGAAAACTATACCACTGGTAAAACAAAGGTCCCTTGCATTCTTGATTGTCTCTTTCCAAACGTGAACATCAACTGGTTGATGCAAACGTAATTCCACGAGACGAGCCTCTTGAGATTCGAAGTCATAGTCTAACACAAGCACTTTTCCTTGAGCCCCACTTTCAATCGCAATGGGTCTTTTGCATATCCCACTCTGATTGGATTTCCAAAAGCGATACTTTTCTGGAACTATTGTGTGGACGACCAAACTTATTCCTCTCAGTACCTCTAGTACCGAGGTTCTAGTAAGGCGCACGATAGGTTCTACAGCCATCCAATCTTTATTCCTTACGCAGTCCAGGGTCAGCATTTTTCGTAACTTCTTACGTACATCAGGGCCAGCAGAATCGCGGAGTGTTCGAATTAGAACTAGACTACTCTTCGCGCCCTCAAGATCAATGAACCAGTTGGCCCAGCTGCATTTCATACTCTTGCCAAGATGAACCACATCTGGCAGGGCGACAAGAAGCGAAAGTTCAATAGGTAATGTACCATCTTCGGCCATAGAGTGTAGATTTGGCAACGCCTTCTTGTTACACTCTTCACAATCGGTAATTACCGTTGCAGCAAGAAACCTGTTACACTTTAGTCCTTTTTCTAAACACCGGTTACAAGCCCTTAAGGAAGGAATGTGTAAGACCTGGCCATTTTGTTTACAGGCTAAGCAAACAGATTTGAGCTTAAGACACTCATCACAGCTGCTAAAGCAAGAGGGCATGTCATTTGTTACAATTTGACTTACAGACGCCTGGAGCTTCAAACACATTTGGCAAGTTTGCAAGGTCTTAGCTGTGTCTTGTATAGATTTGAGGATTTCTTCACCAGTTACTGATTTGGGGCGATAGTACACACCAACTGGAATTGATGAGCCGTTGTCCAGTGATGTACCTACGACCACTTCGGCGCTTGTTAAGAGCTTTTTTTTTATTTCCTCAGGATCAGAAATGGAGTTGCTGCTGAAATTATTTTGGTCTATTTGAGTTGTTAGCCCAGCCACCATTTTCTGAAGTGAATCATATTCTAGGCCAGGTTTTATTGCAGTTCCATCAATAGCTTGTGACAATGGTATAACGTTCAACTTGTCTGTAGAAACAAGTGCTGGCAAATCAGCTTGTCGATTGAAGGCAAAGGAATACAAGGACAATAGATGCGGTTTTATCACCCCACTGGCTGTAGTATAACCAGCTTGAAAGCGTTTTGACGAATTTGTTGACGGACCGCAAAGATTGAAATCAGAAAATGTGTTGAATTCTTTCAGTCCCCCTCTCCCAGTTCCAAAGAAACCAGGCCCTCTCACAAAATTTCGTGTCCGACTACCTCCGAGATACTTGATAGTGTCAAAAAACTCGCACACATCTCGGTCCCATGTGAAATCTGAAGCAGACTTAGGATCAACTAGAGCGAAAGATGTAGTGTTGTCAATAAATTTGTAGTAGAGACAGTCTTCCGGGATCTTTCCTTTCTCAAGAAGTTGGTTGAGTTTAATAGCAACTGGATGGGCATTCTCCACACACCTAGAAGAATAAACGTACACAAACGTCTAAATGCGCAAAGACCACACACAGACCAATGCTAACAATTTGTCAATTCTCATAAATTATAGTGCAACAACATTTCCCCATTACGTAAGCAACCTCAACAAAACTCGCAAGCTTAGAGTTGGAGCCAATAGAAACTACAAGATCAAACACAAATGGACCATCTGTCCTCCATCTTTCTAGTTACATAAACACTCACAAGTTAAAACATGTCAAGTCATCATCCACGTTCGCATCGCTTATCACATGACCCTCCGGATCCTGTGTTGAATCTTTCTGGTCAACATAGCCAGCTTCATCAAAAGCACAATGTGTTTCTTCATCCCATGATTCAATACATGAACTGACAGTCTCATCATGGCTTTGAGACAAGTCTGCGGATTCTTCCAAATCTTCGTTTAGGTAAACACTATCACTGTATAAGGAAATTATCACATACATGTATTATAGTTTTCGCAACATATAGATTCATTTCTGGTCATTGTTCATTGTGTTCACAGTATCAGCCAGTATCAGGAATTTCAAAAGGGGAACAAAGAAGAACATATATAACATTGGGACACTACAAGCAATGGAGAATGCTCCAGATATTAAGCTTTGTAATGGATTTTTGGTATCATGATACAAATGCCAATTGTTTTTAGTAGTTCCACTATTTGCTAACTGCCATGCAATTATATTTTGGCAAAATATGATTTTCTTCTTACACATGAAACACACGTGCAAACATCAATTTGAAAAACATAAACTGCTTTATTTCATTAAGTTCAAAATATCAACAAAAACTATGCATTAAGACTCTATCAGTAGTACTACAAATGCTGGTCAAAGACATTGGTTTTGAGATCTAAGGAAAAAGCTAAACAATCTTTGTGTGTACAACAAATATTATCTATTGGTACATGGTAATGACATGTCTATGCATGAGTTCTATAATAATCTAGATTTTCATCCAAAAAAAGTTCTTTTATACAACAATATATTCTTCAGTAAGGTTTTTACTTGTCAGAGCCTGTTTCTACGGCATCAGCACCAGTAAAGTCCTCCTGCTCATCTTGTGACATGGAATTGCTGCTTGATGCTGAAGAAAGTCGTTCACAATTTCCTTTTTTCCAAAGGCTGTCCAGGGTGTGGTTGTTTTTCACTAAACGCTGTGCTTTCTCGTAATTTCTTTGGCACTTATTGAAATGTGCTACAAAGGACAAATTTTTAGCAAAGGTGAACAGTGTATTCCTAGGTTTACATTTCTCCACCATGGGGATTATTGAAAAAGTGATAAGGGAAGTTCAACTTAATTATAAACATTCATTAGTCTTTTAGAAGATCAGCTGAATACAAAAGACCAGAGTTACTATCACCTAAATACACTCGGAATTATTATTTTTTCTTATTCTGAGTACTGAAACATGTGATCTGCAGTAATGATATTGGTAAATTAAAAATATTTGTTTAAACTTACTGATTTTGAAGTAATTGACCTTCCCTTGGGTGGTTCTGCTAGACTTAGTACTGATAAAATACGGTTTCTTGCAGACTCCACAAGTAAATTTCACCTCATTAAGAGCTGAGCTTCCAGCAAGCTTCCCTAAGTCTAAGCGAGATAAAAGTAAACACATAAGTAAAGGTAAAAGTACAAGTAAAAGTAGAAATTCAAAAACCACCTATTTCATTAAAATTTACCTGCTTGAAGCTCATCTAATTCATGCCTCTGACGCACAATACAACAATACAATACAAAGACTTTATTTAAACACGATAATTGTTAAAGCGACTACACGCTTGTGGGGTCGTGCGTAAAATGGAATAAAATGAAATGTAGTAAAATACAATAATTAAAGTAGCCTATCAAAATTAGAAGATCTAAAAATATTTAAAATTGGGGTCCTTAAAATTCACTGTCTGTGGAGAAATGGAATTAAAGTTCAAATTTAAAAGTGCCTTTGATTTGTAGGCTAACGAGGAGAGCTGCTTAATGGTTATATTTCTTAAATTTGATTCTGGGAGAAGTGTGTTAAAAACGATAGGTCCTCTTCTGGAAAAACTGTTTTTCATGTAATATGTATTGAATTTTGGTACTTTTATGTTGGCATTACTTCTTAGATTTTTCTTAGTATTCACGTCAACTTCTTCGGTGGTATCTAAGATGGATATAGGTAAAGTCTTCTTATCTATTTTGAACATCAGTTTAGCTAAATTAACTTTATATGTGGTTTCAATAGAAGACCATCGAGCTTTGCTTAGTACGTCAGACTTAGGCATATCCCATGGCCAGTTAAAAATTAATTTTGCCGCTTTACAGTGTAAAGACTCTAATGCAATTAGGCCCTCCTTATTAGTAAGGCCGCCCCAGACGGTGATACCATATATAATTGATGGGTAGATTACTTTAAAGTATAAGTCCAGTAGCATGGGTCTTGGTAAGAACAAGCTGCGCTTCAGCATGTTAAGCTTATTTGCAAAGCTGATCTTTAGTGCTTTGACATGGTAGTCCCAGTTAAGTCTATTATCAATATAGACTCCAAGCAGCCTGGTGTGTTTAACCCATCTTATACAATGATTCATCAGTGTTAATGACTGTAGTGGACCAGTGAAGTTTCCTCGATGAATTAGCATGCCTTCGCATTTCTTGGGG